GTTCAAATGCCCCCAGGCTGTCTGCCTCTGCAGGTTTAATGACGAAGGCCCATGGCTAAGCATACTGTAGGGGGCCTGCACCTCCCTTCCAGCCCTTTGCCTTTACCCCCTCCACAGTATATGGAACTTGTATGAACACATGGTAAGACATGTGTTCGGGCCTTGTGTACCACTTGGGACACAAGTAGGGGTGTAGGGACATTGGATGTTCGGGTAGCAGAACCATGGCCGTGGCTGAGCCCCAGGGGTTCAGAGAGTCAATGCTCTGGAGACTGCAGCTGGAATCTGTGTGCTAATAAAACAGCTTAAGCTGAAGAGAAAAAGGAAAGTCATTTGCAGTCTAGGGAAGGCAACCCTCCACCGACACATCCACTAGGATGAATCCCAAACTCTGAAGTTAAGCAAAAGACAGCAGCAGCAGCAGCAGGAAGAGTCCGTAGTGTACTACCTTCATGAGACCAGACACTCAGCGAGGAAGCATTCAGAAGCTCATGGAGATACTGATGTGTCTGAACAGTGCAGACTGAGTCTTCACGGGGATGGGGGAGGGATGATTTAAAAGTTTTCTTTTACATTTTACTCCCCTTCTCTCTTTCTATGTGTGTGTGTATCTGTGTGTATATTTCTGTTTGTGTGTTTCTGTGTATGTGCAAATGTGTGTCTGTGTGTCTATGTGAGTGTGTGTGCCTGTATGTTTGTGGGTGAGTATGTGTGTGTGTCCATGTGTGAGTGTGTGAGCGTGTGTGTCTATGTATGTATCTGTGTGTAAGTGTGAGTTTGTGTGTCTGTGTGTGAGTGTGTGTATATGTGTGCCTGTGGGTGTGTCTGTGCATGTGTCTCTGTATATGTGTGTATGTGTCTCTCTGTGTATATATGAGTGTGTATACATGTGCATGTATGTATATGTGCGTGTGCGTGCGTGCGTGCGTGCGTGCGTGCGTGTGTGTGTGTGTGTCAGAGAATAGAAAAGTTCAGAGAGTTGGTTCTCCCCTTCCACTCTGCAGGTCTCAGGGATTACACTCAGGTTGTCACACTTGGTGGCAGGTGCTTTTACCCACCGACCAATTTCACTGGCCCTACCAGATGTTTAAAAGATTACAGATAATAGCCAGATATGGTAGTGCACTCAGAGGTAAAGGCAGGAAAGTCAAGGGTTCAAGACCAGTCTCAGTTATGTAGTAAGTTGAAGGTCAGCCTGGGCAACTTGAGCCCTTGTCCTAAAAAAAAAAAAAAAAAAAAAGTTTGCTGAAAGCAAGGAGTTGGGGCATGGGCACTACAGACTCTAGACTGTGCACAGAAAAATGTTACTAGAAACTTCATTTTTAAAAAGCAATGCAAATTTGTTTTTTTCCTGGCAGATACAGGTTAAGTTCCCTTCCATTCGGTTCTGAGGTCACTTCAGTGGCAGCGCTAGTTTGTACTGAGGGAGGCAGTTTCAGGAGGAAACCTGGCTTGTCACATCAGTGACTAATCAGATCGTACAGCCTAACTCCACGAGTCTCCCAAATCCTTCCAGGTGCCTAGAACACCAGTCATCCTCTCAGCCAGGCCGGCTGGACTGCCATGACCATGACACACCTGCAAACAGCCCACTCACAGGAGGAAGGGCGGCACCCTCGGTGGGGCTGTGAAGGCGGAGTTGGAGGCCCCAGGGGAGGCTGACCAGCAGGCACCAGGTTCTATGGCTGCCCGTTCATTCCATGTGTCGGCTATAGGCAACAGAGTATTCAGAATGTTCTAGAACATGAGTACACTGTCCAAGCTTATTTAAAAGCCCTCTTTTAAGCTACCTCCGACACCAAAGAAGGATGGAGGAAGGGAGAAATTACAAAGGAAACAATGTTCATACCCAAGGGAGCTTTTCTAGTCTCTGCCTCTGTTTCTGCCTCTGTGGTTCAGGCACCTGCTGCCCAGGCCAGCTGCACTTCTGGCTTCCCAGACTCAAAGGAAGTGAAATTAGAGGAGACTGCTGAGGAGAGCAACTCCCCCAAGAAGGGCGAGCCTCCAGCCCCAACTTCACAGTCATAAAGAAACCAGGGGCTGCCCTACACACTGGCCCCTTAAAGAGAAAGTGGCTCCAGGAGGGGCTTCCCCACCAAGGGGCAGGCTGCACCAAGGCTCTCAGTATGCCTGTCTCTGTGAGCCATCGCATAGTGTGCTGGATCCTATAGAGGCCGGGCTCTCCCTTGGGGAACCTTGGCTTCCTGGGGCTGAGGGACCCAGTCTTGATGTAACAGTAGCCAAGGTAGATAGGACTTTGTGTCTGAACGTGAGGGTCGTAGATGTCTATAGATTTACCAGTCTGGGTTAAGCCTGGTTAGAAAATCCCAGCCCTCTTACAGCTGCTGGATAACCTTGCTGAGCCTCCGTGTGATGTGCTGATGGCAGTAATGCTGACACTTGTGTCTCACCAGAGGCTGAGTGGGTTCTCCGAGGTCACAGGCAGGCCTCGCACATCCAGGTGTTCAGCAGATGTGCTTCCTGTGTGGTTTGCTGAGTTTATTTCTGTTCTCAGAAGCACCTTAAGAAGCAGCCGTAGAGTTTACCAGAGGTGTAAGCAAGCCCTCAAAAGATGAGGACCCCAATTCTAGCCTAGCCCTCACTTGGGGTTAATTCCAGCCTAGGGATCCAAAAGCAGGCTTGTCCTTTCCAGATGTACACCTGATGATCACAGTCCCTGTCCCGGATTTCCACGTGTCACCTGGCCACGTGCTATATCACCTGCTCTCTGGCTCTGAGTTTGCTCAGCCCCACCCTGCACTGGGCAAGGTGGGTGGCCAGCACTGGACAGGCTCACCTGGCACCCAGGTGAATGGTTCCTGCTACCCACCCTAACTAGACACACCTCGCTTGGGACCTAGAAGCAGAAGTTGGTGGCTTGCCACTCAGCTCACATGGAGCTGCACATGTCACTGTCCCCCCCTAATCTGGGGTGGCTGGGACTTACAGCCCTCTTTTATGGGTTTAGTGACTAGAGACATCAACCTGCAGACCCTCTCTCCTTTCTGTGTAAAGTGAGTTGCTAAGAGATTTGAGTAGCCTCATGTTTTCATCCATCTGTCTCTCCACCCATCCATCCATGATCTGTCTATTCATCTGTCTACCCAGCATTCATGGAGTCTCATAACTTAGGAGAGGAGACAGGGTAAGCCGAGTGCCTCCCAGCCTCCCATCACCACAGCCTCTGCACCCCTACTCCCAGTTCTCTGGCTAGACTGCAGACTCCTAAAGGCCTGGAAGGAAGGCTGCCTGGAGCCCCAACCTGGAATCACTCAGCCACGTCATCTGGAAGCTTTGACAGACAGCTGACTCCTGTAGTTTCCAGAAGGCAGAAGCAAGGCCATCTTGACATCTGGCCTCCCTAGCATGGAGAGAGTATAAGGGAACAGGAGGGAGCCCCCAAGCCTTGGCATAAAGCTAGGCGCAGACTGCAGACGGCCATGGTTTCTGCAGGGAACCATGGTCCCTCAAGCTCTCTGCAGCCACTTCCTTCCCCACTCCTTCCTTATCTATCGGACCACCCAGCACAGAAAGCCACAACCAACGTCTACTTCCCCACAAACACCAACTGCCCTCCTGGGGGCATAGGGAGCGGATGATCACCCCCAGGTGCTGGGGCAGCCCCCCTACTTGTGAGCAACTTTCTTCTCTTTCAGACCCCACCTCCGTGAGACCCGCTGATTGGAAAAGCATGAGGACAGGGCAGTAAGCAACTCTGGGGCTCCTCTTGAAAGCGGAAGTGTCCCATCTGTGGGCCCCACAGGTGCAAGCCAGAAGCATCTGCCTCAGAGCTGATGGGGAGCCACCTACTCCCTCCAGCCGCACCCAGGGTCCAGTCCTGCTGCCTCTTTGGGCTAGGGGCTGTTTCCCCAAACCCCTCCCTGTCCCTGATCCAAAACCTTCCTTGGATCACTCACTCTGGTATATTGGGGGCCTGTGGCTCAGCTGCACTGGAGGGGGGACCATGAGATTACACATCTCTCTGTCTCTGCTCTCCAGAGGTCAAGGAGCCTGGCCCTGGCAGGACTGTTGGCACTGAGAATAAAAAGACATAATCCAGTACCCTCTGATGATCTTATGCGCCATCCTCATCACAACACAGGGAACACAGTGACACTGGTAGACTGTCCTAGCCCACAGCAGGGTCCTCTCTCCTCCAACCCTGAAGAGAGCAGTCAGCCAGCAGAGTAGAAAGGGAAAGCCGACCCCATTTCCAGAAGTCTCCAACTCAAGGCCTAAGCCTATAGCTCGTTGTACTACCCTTAACTTAAAGAACACCCAAAGGCCAAGACAGTGACAGCCAGGGAGACAGGAGAAAGGGGTTTTTAGTAACCAACTATCTACATGAACAAGCTAAACATTAAATCAAAGCAAAGCACACCGATCCTAGTAGCATGCTAGGAACATGTCTGCGAACCCCTACTGGGTCTAAGAGAACATTATTCCTTCCCATGAAGCCAACCCGATAGTTTCATCACCGTTTAGTAAGTGGCTTCCTCTGGAACCTAAGGCTAGAATAGCATTATTTCTGCTGGGAGTCAGCTGGAAAGGGGCCTGGAGTTTCTCCCCAGTAGACAGCCTTCCCAGCAAGTTCCAGGCTGCCAGGCAGAGAGGCCAACTGCCTATCCGTGGCTTGTTTGGCTTGGGCTTCCCTCAGGGCAGCTAGTGTAGGACTGTTTCCACCAGCTGGGGAGACTGTGACCCTGATCCTGTTGGAAGCCAGGCACAAGGTGACAATGGAGATTCTTAGAAGCAAGAGGTGACGAGAGATCCCCTAATGGTGACAGAAAGACCACCTGAGCCATGCTCACTCCTGACTCTGCCCTTCCCCTTAGGCCTTTCATTGGATAGCAAATAGAAGGGGGTTCTTGGGCAAAGTCTGGCTGAAGGCAGGGAAAGTGGGTGGAGTCTCTAGACCTCCCAGGCCACAGGAAGGGCTATGCCCCATGGGAAGATAGACAGACGAGCCAGAGGTTCTGGCCAGGATGGACATTACCCCAGGGTGGAGGAAACACACTCCATGAGCTACACCAGACTGGGCCCAGTGGGAGGTCTCGGGGCTACAGGCGGGATAGGAGGAAGTTGTTGGAAAGTCAGACCGGAATGGCATGGTGGAGAGAGAAGCGGCAACCAGGCAGATGGTTCCTGCCGAGGAAGCACTGGGCACAGCTGCAGGCCCCCGACCCCCACCGCATTATCACTGTGACACAGCTGGCTGCCTCACCCCTGAAGGCTGCAGGAGGACCTCCCCCATGCTGTCCCCAAGCCCGCCCCGTGTCACATGAGGCCCTGCAGCCTCCCACCCTCCATCCAGGGCCACAACCCAGCTCTGCCGGCTGTAGGGACTAGAAGGGCCTGGAGCCTTTGAGGAACGGAGCACAGGCTCCGAAACACCAAAGCTCCTCCACCCCTCCTGTTCTCTCCAGACCCCCAAGAAATCAGAAAGGGTGCTTCAGGGTGGGCTCTGGAGGCCGGCCAGCTCACTCCAGCTCCAGGCACCCATCAGTCTCCCGCTCCTCCATCTTGCAGCTCCATGTCTCAGGCGTCCACCACCACCCTGGAGAGTGGGGCACTCCTCTCAGGACCCCGGGGTCTTCAGAATGGAAGCCCAGGTAAGAGGCTGGGGGGAGGGAATGGGGAAGATTAAAGAGACAGAAGCTGGGACAGGTGGAGCAGGTGTCAGGAAGGTGACATCTCCAAGCTGCTGTGTGTGCGTGTGCCCAGCTTTGTTGACAGCGTGGCTGTGTTGACCTACCTCAAATATCAACACAGTCCCCCACCACCACCAACAGGGAAGCGTCCCTCACAGCTGGGACAGGTGGCCCCATAAGAGAGAGTGTGGCAGCTGCCAAGCCTGAGTCCTGGCCCCACCCAGAGGCAGGTGCATGGCTCTGTGTAGGAGGGAATGAGCCATGTCTTCTAACAGTGGGGGCTTAGGCTAGAACTCGGGGCCTCTCAGATGCTTCTAAATGCGAGGCCTCAGTGCAGGTTGGCTGAGATCAAGGGCAGAACCATGCAGGCTCAGACATGTAAGCATTACTTACATCAGAGCAGTGGGGAAATGAGGATCTGTCTCATTCTCAGGGGCTGCTGGTTTTGGGGGTAGGGGGCACTCAGCAAGCTGCCATTTCCCCTACATCTCTCTCCCCACTCGAAGAACCTCAAGGACTCAGAGATGCAAGCAGGTGGCTCCATCCCTGGCTCACAGTCACATGGCCACACCCCAGGCAGCCTTTGGACCCTGCCTGAGCCCAGAGTTCTGAGTCCCGTGGTGCTTGTGCTGTGGCAGTCAAATTCACGTCCAGATCCCGGGCCCACGGCATCCTTTTCTGCAGAGGGAGCCACCTTGAGGCTCGTCTAAACCTGCAGCCTTCCCAAGGCCCAGACATCCAAACCCCATGTCTCCAGAAACACGCAGGACTCAAACGATGGTGCCCAGGTATACGTGGCCCAACTTCCCCAGCAAGATGCATTATTCTTGGCTTTTGCCAGGTGAGGGGATTCAAAGACACCTGGGAGAATATGCCTGTTCACAGACCCAGGCGTGATTACCCTGCAGATGGGTGCAAGGCAACTGCCTGCCCCGGAGGAGGTTGTCATAGTCCCACCGCCCTGAGAGCTGCAGTCAAATCTGCCCCCTTTGCTTCCGTCCCTAGGCCAGGACCTTCCTCCCTCCTATCCAAGTGTCTCACATGGCTCCTCTGAGACTGGGAGGAAGGCAAGAAGGCTGGAGGTGGGAGAAAGACCACTGTGGGGTTTGGGTAGAACAGTTCGGATGGCCCTTAAAGCTCATGACCACGAGATGTGTATGAACGTGGTTGTGTTTCCAATATGGATGTGCTATTGGTAGGATGGAGATGCCCAGAGCACTCTGCGTATGTCTCTGACAGAATACCCATCCAACAGTACATATAGTGTCCCCACTTGGTACAGACCAGTAACTCTCTAAAAACCTCACCCAAGTAGACACATGTGGAGCTCTGCAATGCCAGAAAGCACCACTAGGGGCAGCGTTGAGTTGGGCCACTTTGGCAGGTATAGATAACTAAGAAGGTTCTGTGCTGTCTGTAATCCTCCAGGAATCTGAAAATCTTGGAGACAGAACATGGGTTAATTGGCTTTGTTGATTGCCAACAACCTCTGCCCTACGAAGTCAAAACATGCAGAGCACCCTAAGCTGGGCTCCTGGTTAACGGGAGCGGGGTAAGAATCTGCTGTGAGCTGAGACATGCAGGGCTATGGGTGAAGTGGATAGCCAGGGCGAGGACTTTCATCATCCCTGAGACAGAGAAAGGAACAAGGGGTCAGCACTGCACAAGGCCACCCCACCCCTTGGATTGACCTTCCTGTCTGTTGCAGACCCCAGAGTGCCGAGAGGCAGAAGCAAATCAGGTAGAGTGTTTGCAGGCTCCTGTTTATTAGGCACCAACTGTGTATACTAGACATAGCATGGGCGCCGTGGGTCTTGGAGGTTTGATTGGATGGCGGCTTGCTTCCTAGGAGTGGGCCAGGAAGGTGCCGTATACGGAGACCTTGAATGCTACCCACAGACATTGTAGCTAGAGGATCCAGGACTTATCCCCTTCCCCCATAGGGGAGAAACTAAGTCAAGCTTGCTGGTGTGGCCGTAGAGAAACAACATGGGGTCCAGTTCATTGAGCAGGAGGTAGGGAGTGTCACTCGTGGAGGAGCCCAAGAGGCAGGAGGGACATTGCAGCAAGGACACCTGGGGCTCTTGGCCCAGATTGAAGTTCTCAGCCCAACCCTGGGACAGCTGGATTCTGCTAAGCATTCCCTTCTCCTTCCTCTTCCTCTTCCTTCTCTCTCTCCTATCTCTGTCTCCCTGCTCTGCCTTCCTCTTCTTCCCTCCTCCTCCCACTCCTCCTCCCACTCCTCCTCCCACTCCTCCTCCC